GTTTACGTTGATAGGTTAGAAATTTAACTTAACAACTAATCTAGCAACGGTCCGTATACGTATCTTTTATTCATTTACGCCTACGTTAAAGTATTACGTACTGCCATCACTTCAAAACTCTAATAGTAATAATAATAAAATATCTGTTCTTATAAATAATGACCACCATGAAAACAAGGGACCGTATTTTTGGTTGCCCGCTATCATTTATTTAATAAAATGGGAACTAATTGTTATAGAGGAGGTTCTCACAGCCTAAACCATTGCAGAGCCGACGTTAAGGGTCGGCTGTGAATGATTTTTTTACATCAGGATGATATACTGGGTGTAACAGGATCACCCCTTTTCACCTTTAATTTTGAGGATAATTGATTGAAATTTGGGATATCCTATATACATAATAAACGGCACCTTTTGACATACTAGTGATTTTTTTCACATCCGGTTTTGCCGGAAGTGACACTAACTCTGGATATTTAAATAAAACACCGTGTACATTATTGCATTTTTGAATTATGCATAATTTTCTGAATCCAACGATACCAAATATGTGACATTTCAACGTCAATATTTTTTATTTATTTTTCTTTTATTTATTATTTGTAGTTTTCCATTTAAGTGTGCCTGACGGTTCTGATTTATTCTTAATGACCCGTGTAATGCTAGAAAAATCGAAATCCCATCAAAAATACTAAATCACTTTGTTTATGAGCAAATAAAGTTCATCAAAATGGCGTTTGGGAAAAAACTCAATTTTTTTCAAATGGAACCATATTGGTACGTAGTAAGTACTATTCATTAGTACTATTAATAAGGAATTTATTCATATGTCGTATTAAAATGTGCGATAAATAAAAACAAAATTACAGTTAAAAGAAAATAGAAAAATAAAATTTTGTTCCAATTAAATATTAAAATGTAACTAACTAAAGTGGCATTGAAAACGATGAAATATTTAGCTTGTCAAACATTGGTTGGTTTACCGATATTCTTGTTAATTGTGTTCAAAATGCCTCAAGTTCATACGAGATAAAAAAGTGGACATGTTAATTATTTATGGGGAATGTAGAAAAAAATGCTGTTGCGGCTAGACACCTTTATGCCGAATGATATCCTGATAGACAATGTCCAGCGAGAAATTATTTTGATCGTCTTGAAAATCAATTCGGAAGTGAGCCCAACAATGATCCCGAAGAAAATTTCATTCTCGACGAAGGAACCTAAATTAATGTTTTGGCTCGAGTATAAGTTGATAAGAATGATAAGATTGTTTCTTTAAGGCAAATTGGGTTTGAATTGGAAATCAGTCACCAAACCGTAAGCCGAATTTTGCACAAATACCACTATAAATCTTTTAAATACCAATTGCATCAACACTTGTACGAAAATGATTATGAACGTAGGATTGAATATTGCAATTGGATTTTGCAGAATAACGTGCAGCCAAACAATGATTTTTTGGGAATGATTTTATTTTCGGACGAGTCTAGGTTTACAAATTTGGGTTTATTTAACCGACAAAATACAAAATATTGGTCACTATAAAATCAAAATTTATTACGGGATGGTAACTTTCAAGGTTGGTTTGGTTTCAATGTTTGGTTTGGAATAATCGGTAGTAGAATCATTGGTCCAATAATATTTGAAGGACCCCTGACTGGTGCAGATACTTGGGATTTCTGCAAAATGAAATTGAGGACAGTTTAGCTGAATTACCTTTCCATTTACGGCAGGGAATGTATTTCCATAAAAGATTCGGAGAAAATGTAATTTCGACAAATGGTCCTGTGAGGTGGCCTACAAGGTCACCTGATTTAACACCACTTAATTTATTTGCTAGGGGTAATTTAAAAAATAATACAAGATAGATTTATTGGGGTTCAAAATAAAACAAAGAAGGTTTAGTGCCATATTCCCCAAAAAGAAACAATTATGCAGCTACGGACACGTGTTTCGGAGTTATTGCCCTCATCAGCGTATCGTAGCTGCATAATTGTTTCTTTTTGGGGAATATGGCACTAAACCTTCTTTGTTTTAAAAAATAATGTCTACGAAACCGCCGTTAGAACCCGTGAAGACCTGGAGCTACGAGTAAGACGCGCAATTAATAGCATAGCGGCCCAGCAATTGGCGAACGGTCTTCGAGAAACAGCTGTGCGAGGTCAGAAGTTCATTGACGTTAATGGACAGCATATTGAACAACTGTTGTAATGTTTTGTGTTCATATTTTTGTATTCCAAAGCCACCTTATGTATAGCAAGGTAATTAGAAAAAAATTGTATTTTTTTATTTTCTTTTAACGTAATCTTGTTTGTATTTATCGCACATTTTAATACGACATATGAATAAATTCCTTATTAATAGTACTAATAAATGATACCATGGTACCAATATGGTTCCATTTGAAAAAATTGAGTTTGTCCCCAAAAGCCATTTTTTAACTTTATTTGCTCTTAAATCACGTAATTTAGTATTTTTAACAGGATTTCGATTTTTTTCTAGCATTACACGGATCATTTAGAATAAATCGGAACCGTCATAACACACTTAAATAGAAAAATAAAGTTATATTATAAAAAATATTGACGTTTGAAATGTCACTTATTTGATATAGTCGGCTTCAGAAAATTATGCTGAATTCAAAAATGTAATAATATACAGGGTGTTCCATTTAAAAATCGAAAGTTAGTGTCACTTCCAGCAAAACCGGAAGTGAAAAAAAATCACTTGAATGTCAAAAAGTGCCGCTTATTATGTATATAGAATATCCCAAATTTCAATCGATTATCTTTAAAACTAAAGGAGAAAAGGGGGTGTACCATGATCCTGTTACACCCGGTATATTGGTATAAGAAAGTTATGTACTGGCCACATCAGATATTTTACTTAGTAGGCAATTTAGGAGGAAATTATAGGCCATTTACAGTATGGATTCCGTATGTCAATCATTTTGGGTATTTATCAGCACGATGATGTCGGGAAAAGTGGTCTAGTCCTTCCATCCTTGTGGATTAGAGGACCTGTTTCCGTCACCATATTTGGAAAGGAATATAAAACTATACCTAAAATGTGAGCAGAGTAGACATCATATCTCTAGTTCACTGATTAATTAACACTACAACCATCTTTAGTACATAAAATAAATAATTTTGAAATACTCCAGACACTAAGAAATTCCTATTTCCTTGGCCTTCTCAGATGTTATATTTGTAAGGTACTGTGAGAGTAGCTATAAATTCTCAGCAAAGATGTTTCCAGCTCAAATTACATTACGCAGAAATTTTACAAGGAACATTTATAATCTCAGTTACCGTATAATTTGCCCACATGAGATCTTTATAAATTAAGGTCGTAACAACTGTAATATTTAAAGAGCTTATCTACGCTACAATTTATCGAAAATATTCCGACTAGAAAATTAAAACATTTCGCTTAAAACGAAAATGTTGAGATTATATAAGAATTATGAAAAGTTAATTGCACTTGTAAAATAATTTACAAAACAACCTAAATAAATATTTTAATTTTACATTTTTAATTATTTGATGCAGATCTAGGCTTGTAATGTCCGGTGACTACAAACAAGCTATAAATGATTCATATATTAATGCAAACATTATAAAAATTTATTTAAAAACTAGAGATCAGCATATGGTATTTCAGAAAATTGATATAAGCATTATTGATGCCTTGGAAGAGCGTTTATGAAAGTTAAAATTGTTTTACGGCAAGAAATAGGAGAGGGGTACATCAATCAAATATTAGATCTTTCTAATATTATACGTATTACAGTATTATACAGGATCCGGCAATTGGTGAACGATTTGAGTCATGCAAAATGCAGCGAAAGTTTCTATCCGATAAGTTCCATGCTAATGACTGACAGAAGCATTAGTCCTGAATTTTTGCACTCATCTTATAAGGGTTTTACCACTGGGATTCGAATTTCTGCTACCAACGTTAATATGGTTATGAAATATTCGTTTTTCTTCAAGCGTATAACAATAATTATATTATATATTGCAACACATCCTAGAGAACGTGCCTATTTTTGTACTAATACAAATATTTTAAATTTTTTTCCTAGGACAAAAATGAAACAATGTACACTACTGTGCAAAAGTAAGTAGGATAGTGACAGTAGTGGTGTAATATATATTTAATATAAATGTATCTGCTTTTACACTCAGATAATTTACTAATTGCTGATCGTATTCAACCATCATTTATCCTCCATCTCCCAGTTAAAGGCCTTCTTTTAATACTCCTTTCTTCTTATCTCGCCTTTTAACTCTTATAGGTACAGTAATAAGTGCTGCCTTACTTAGTTTTGCACAGCAGTGTAGTATGATATACTACGAGTTAAAAATCCAAGTAGCTATGACTTGCCATAACTGTCAGTTTTAAATTTCACGTCGAGTCGGTTTTCAAATTTAAAAGCAAAAATATCTGAAGAAATGTAGTGCATAACACCTGAATTACTTGAAATTGCAAATTCATCAGTGGCAACATTAATTCCCACGAAATCCAAAAAAAGTTTACGATAATGCGTACGATAAATTTATAAAATGGGCCAAGGACAACAACGTACATATGTATTCGGAAAATGTGATGATATATGCATATTTTACACATTTATCCAAAAAACTGAAAAGTTCCACTCTATGGGCGCAATATTCAATGGTAAAATCTAAATTAAACATCGAACACAAATTGACAACTATTCTAAATTAATTGCCTTCTTAAAGCGAGAAGGCGAAAATTATAAACCTAAAAAAGTCAAAAGTTTTGTCTAAAAAAAGAATTTGATGAATTCCTTAATAAAGCACTTAATGATAAATATTTAGCAACAATGATTATGTACGCATTTTAAAATTATATATTTAACCCTTTCATATCTGTAATACAAAATTTTGTTATAATTTTTGAAATTCCAGTTATTTTATATCTATCCGCTATGAAAATAATAGATAAAAGAATTGAATGCTTTCATTAAGTCCGGATATAGCTTAGTGGTCAGAGTGTTGGACTCGTAATTTGAGGGCCTGGGTTCGAATCCTCTACTTTTAACTTCTTTGCTCTTTCTAACTTTATTTTACTTTTATAAAATTAATATAGTATATTTTTTAGGTTGTACTAATATTTGGAGTCACAGGAGCTTGTAGATGCAATGAACTTTTTCATATAAAAGTTAATGATATGAAAGATTTGGGAGATTTAATCTTAATAAATATTCCCAACACAAAAACTAAAAAACATCGCTCATTTACTATAATTGGATATTTATATTTAAATTTATAAAGAAAATATGCTACTCTTCGGCCAAAAGACATAACTTTTGGTAGATTTTTTATTAAATATTAAAATGATCATTGTCATCGTGTTGTAATGGGCATACATAAAATTTCAAACGTTGCAAAAGATGTTGCATTTTTAAAGTTGCCAAATTCACATGAATATACGGGACATAGCCTTAGAAGAACCTCGGCAACTATTTTAGTTGATAATGGTGTAGATACAAAAGGGCGGTATGAAGCATTATTGGACGCTAAGGAGAAGTATGGAAGAGACAAGGCTTGGTCGGCAGGTGGTAAAATCTTTGTTTTACATGATGGCAGGAAATGTCTCTACAATTTTGGTGAAAGTGCTTGATTTTATCGATATGGTACAACTATAAATGTTTTTTACACCTTATACCTATAATTATACTGCTAATATCTTGTCATGTTTTTGTCATTTCTTTTCTGTTATTACTTTTTTTCATTACTTTTTTTGTGCGTGCACTATCTTCATATAGTTTGCCGTATCGTTATTTTGATTTTATATTTATATTAAGAGCTTATCTCTATTTAACTTTACCTTTACCTTCCTCTGTGAAGAACTGATTTGGGTAAATCATTCTATATATCACTTTATGACTGCCTACTTTTTACTTTCTTTTGATCATAAATAATTTACATGAATAAGAATTTTTTTATTTTACTTGTTTATACATTAGTATTTCTTCTGTATATTTATTTATGATTAGAATTGTATAGTTTTTTGCATATATAATATAATAAAATATATTGTCTGCTTATTAAGCCTTAACAGATATTTTTGTCGTATACTTGAGCTCTATGTATGGTTTTTTTTTTCATGCATAATACATGGTTTAGTTTTTCTCATTTTAATATACGTTCTGTTTGTACAGGGTTTGATTTGTTTTCTGAACTAGTCTTAAAAGAAAAATTTAGTATTATTGGTCTCTCTGAAACCTGGTTAGACAATCAAATTAGTGATAATAATTTATTAATTGATGGTTATACTTTAATTAGGAATGATCGTGAGGGGAGAGGTGGGGGAGTAGCTTTTTATATTAGCAAGTCAATCAGTTTTAAAATTCTGGATGTTCCTAATAACGGTTTAATTGAACAGCTTTGGATAAGTGTAAAAATTGAAGGTAAGACGCTTTGCCTGGGTACATTATACAGACCGCCCAATGTAAATCTTCTTCAGTCTCTTGATGAACTGGAAAATACTTTAGTAAATTTTATACCTGACTTTGATTTAGTTTTATTTGGTGGTGATTTAAACGTTGATATGTTGAATGACGCCAGTTATAATTTTGTACAACTAAGTAATCTTTTCAATAAATATGGCCTACATCAACTTATCACGGAACCTACTCGTATTAAAAATAATACACAAACTTTAATTGATCTTCTTGTCTGTTCTAGTCCTGATTTCTTTCTAAATTCTGAGGTACTAAATATGGATGATATCTCCGATCATTGCCTGGTAACTTGTAACCTAAATATCAGGAAATCTAAGCAGCCTTTGACATACAAAACTTTTCGCGACTTTTCAAGTTTTGAAAATGATTTATTTATTCGTGATCTTCATATAATTAATTTTGATCAGTTATATACCTTAGAAAATGTTGATGAAATGGTGGAATTTTGGAATAATAATATTTTATATCTATTTAACATACATGCTCCTTATAAAACTGTTAGAATCACCAAAGCTCCTGCGCCTTGGTTAACTGATACTCTCAAAGCAATGATGAAGTTAAGAGATCGTGCTCACTTTAAATATAGGAAAACTAAAACTGAAGTTGATCGGGCTTACTATAAAGAAATAAAAAATTTAGTTAACATGGCGGTTAAATCAGAAAAGAGAGGATACTTACAACATCAGTTTAAAACTGACCCTAAAAATTTTTGGAAAACACTTAGATCTCTTAACGTTCATTCTAACAGCTTTGACAATCCATCTGATATAGCTCATCCTGATGAATTTAATGATTTTTTTATTGACAAATTACCTCGGGTAGATGTTGATGTTAATTTTGTAGAAAATCTTTATGCCAATAAAATATTTCCTGGTGTTACTGAAGAATTTACTTTTGAACCAGTATCTGCTGATAAAGTTGAAAAATGTTTAGGCACTATCAAGTCAAATGCTAAAGGCGCAGATAATATTGATTTAAAAATGTTAACTTTAGTAACGCCATACTTAATTAATCACCTCACTTTCATAATTAATAGATGTCTCTCTACAGGTACTTTTCCTAAACTATGGAAATCTGCGAAAGTCATCCCTGTACCTAAAAACTCCTGTCCCTCTGAAATGTCACATTTTCGGCCAATCTGCATTTTACCTACTATATCCAAAATTTTGGAGAAGATAATTTATGAACAACTTACACAATTTTTCGAGAAATTTAATATTTTACCTGCAACTCAATCTGGCTTTCGAGCCAATTATAGCACCACCACAGCCTTACTGCATGTAACAGACGAATTATTTAGGTCATGTGATGATAACGAAAATGCTTGCCTTATACTTTTAGATTACAGTAAGGCATTCGATACCATAAATCATGCTACCCTGTGCTTAAAATTAAAATATTTTGGACTTAGTCCCAACACAATTTCCTTTTTCTCTAATTATCTGGCTAACAGATGTCAAAAAATTGTACTTAATAACATTTCTTCTAACTTCCGTACTGTCAATAAAGGTGTGCCACAGGGTAGTGTTTTAGGTCCTTTGTTATTTTCTGTTTTTACTGCTGATTTTTCGATGTTTCTGAAACACGCTAATTCACATCAATATGCTGATGATTTCCAATTAATCTTTAGATTCTTGCTTAACGATCTTGATGCTGCAGTTGAAAATATTAATTTAGATATGGCGCACATTTCGTTGGTGTCCCGTAACCATGGTCTAGTGTTAAATGAAGCTAAAACCGAATTGCTAGTTGTTGGTAGGCACAGGGAACAGGTCGTAAGTCATCCCCACTTCATCCTAAGAGTCAACAATAAAAGTATAACACCTAGTGATTATTGTAAGGACTTAGGAATATATATAGACAACAATTTAAGGTTTTCTAAACATGTCAGTCACGTAATTCAAAAAATCTTACAGTAAATTGAAATCTTTATATATTCATAAGGACTTTCTTAGCCAAGAAGTGAAATTAAAGTTATGCGATTCTTTAATACTTAGTTACATAGCATATTGTGATACAGTTTATTGGCCAGTCATTTTGAATAAAGACAAAGAAAGTCTTCAAAAAGTTCAAAACGCTTGCTTAAGATTCAGTTATGGTCTAAGGAAGTTTGATCATATATCATCTAAATTTCTTGAATCAAAATGGCTAAACCTGGATGAGCGTTTCCAGCTTCATTTAGCTTGTATGGTATATAAAATTGATAAACTCGAAACACCCAAATATCTATACGATAAGTTAGTGAAAGGTATCGACACTCATGAACTCGTTACTCGTCATCGGGAGTTGTATACTGTACCCAAGCATAGTTCGGCAAAATTTGAAAGATGTTTTACCTATAACGCAGTTACATTGTATAATAAGCTACCACATTATATTAAATCTTCCCCCTCTATTAACTCATTCAGAAAACAGATCAAATTCTTACTCTATACCAACAGAAATATGTAAATCTTTCGCACTTATTCTTGCGTATTTCTATATTTCCCATTTTATTTTATTTTTCTTTTTGCAATTGTTGATTAAATGGAATGGTTAGGTGTAAGAGCAACTATGTTGAACCTCGCCATTCCTGTAACACTTTTCTATTATTTATAATCACTTAACATAAATAAAGACATTTTATTATTATTATTATTATTATTATTATATAACAACCCTATAGCGACATGGTGAATGAAAATCCACCAGCGTTGCTGAAGGATACATTGAAAAATCTGTAAACAACAAAAAACAGATAGCGATGAAAATACTAAACCCATTAGAGTATAATGAGCCCAGTACTTCAAGTCAAACTGAAAACATTTTTACTGAAGAATTTTCTGCCAACAATGAAAGAATTTTGAACAATCAAACTGACAATCTTATTACAAGTAATGTATTCGACAGAACTATGAATCTAGAAACAAACACAGCCAGCAGTGCTTTAAACGTAAGCAACTGTACTATACAGAATTGCATATTCATGTTAATAAATAATGGTTTTTGGAAAGACCTATAAGTAATATAGATTTTGATGTTTAAGAACTAAAAATGTTATACTTAATTTTAATTCCAATTAAAAAAAAATGTTACCTATATTTAATTTATAAATAAAATGGTTAGTACTATGTTATGCTTAATTAATAAATAAAATGGTTAGTATTACCAATATTTTATTTTTTTGCCAAAATTGAACATATTTGATGTCATTTTTCGAAATTAAAGTCGCAATTTTTTTATTTTGACGCTCGAAGAAAAAAATAGTATATATCACTTGGATTAGAAGGCATATGTTTGGCCCAGTTGCTCAGCCTCGGCTTGCGCATCGGCTTAGCAAACTTCTAGGCTCAACATGTAATGTTCGCCTTCTCCTCCTAGTAACATAATATACTATTTGTGCACTCATTATTTGCTTGTGGATTTATTTGCGACATAAAGCTCTTTGATTTATTTATTCAAATTACTGACTTTCAGTTAAACGAAATTTGGGGAAAATGGCAGCCAACATATGAAAGACGTTATCTTTAAAACTTAATTTTCTTAGTGAATAATTCATTTTGTAAACAAACTATTTTTACTTTACATTTCAAAAAT